TATTTACATATATCTCTTTACACAAACAAATTATAGACACATTTTTGTATAACTGCAAGTGGTTAGGCTATAAGCAGCTCTAAAGACGGCTTGCATGCACTGCCAATGTTGCAAGAAAACAGCACATGCAAGATCTTTGCTTTAACGACCTGGTTTACGTGTAGTTTACGTGTGTTGAAAAATAAGGCAATACAAATATTCAGTTTTATTATTCTATCCCTTCTACCAAAAAAAAAAAAAAAAAAAAAAAAAAAAAAATAGTTTAAAGTTTAACACTCCAGAGAAAGTTGTACTGAAGTGGTTGGCATTTAGAGTGATTTAATGACCATTTAAGTGTGTGTAGACTGTGGGTGTATTCTATAAAGTGCGTGTGCTAAATCATTCATATCCTTTGGTGTTTGTCATGACTAGCTGGGATGTATATATATTACAATAGAGTAACGCGTAAAAATTTCCCGTTGTGATTGTGGTTAGGTTCTAAAAATGCAGAAAAAAAAAATAAGCAACTAAATGACCTATAAAATCATAAGACTTACACAAAAGACGATGGCTAAATGTTAGTATTCTACAGGCTGTACTTTCTCTATGTATTAGCGGGCAACATAAGCTTGGTTTTCTGCGTTTGTTTTGCTTGAAGTTAGTGTTGGCAGAATCCACTCGTGTGACTAGATGCGCTTCCAACATCGACCATGAGAGAGAGAGAGAGAGAGAGAGAGAGAGAGAGAGAGAGAGAGCGAGAGAGAGCGAGAGAGAAAAAATAATAAGCAACTAAATGACCTATAAAATCATAAGACGATCAATCATTCACAACGCGAAGTGACACCAAGTCTTTACACAAAAGACGCTAAATGTTAGTATTCTACAGGCTATACTTTCTCTATGTATTAGCGGGCAACATAAGCTTGGTTTTCTGCGTTTGTTTTGCTTGAAGTTAGTGTTGGCAGAATCCCCTCGTCTGACTAGATGCGCTNGATATTATTATTTATATATATGCATGATTAAAAGCTATTCCTCTTTATCTCTCTTATTACGTGCTCAATTAATAATTTGGTGTGTATCTTTATATGAATAAAATTTAGCACAAACTCGCAAGATACGGATGCACTTCTTATCTTCCGGATAACAAAAGCACCAGAGGGTTATCTGAGCGGCAGATTAACATGAAATAGACGTTCGTGCACAGAGAGCGAGCGTAAGGGCTTTCGGAATAATGATGGTGCGTTCGGAACTGCTCGTCTATCTCGTCCAGACCAGTTGGACGAGATGTTTTGACCGTTCGGAACCTCCACTATCTCGTCCCGGACAAGTAGTCTAGCTCGTCCAACTCGCCCTCCTGCGAAGGTGGCCGAGCAGGACGAGATGACGTCACAATAGGTTTTGTATGTAAACATTGACAGTTGCAGGTAACCACAAGATATTGGTGGGTAATTTTATGACCCTTAATTGGTGTTATCAAAGGATATTTTTGTGTTTGTCAGTTGCAGGTAAGTTAAATATGCATCAAAGGAGTTACAAAACTTATGCAGCGTGTAAAATAAAGACAGCCGGTTGCATTCTGGGCGGAAAGGGTCTTGGAGGTTCCGAACGCGGCCCACTTGTCCTGCTGGTCCTGGACAAGATGTCTGGACGAGCAAGACGAGCAGTTCCGAACGAGGCATAAGGAGACGAGGGCGATGGAGATGGGAGGCAGAGGAACGCGAGAGGATGGAAGAGTGGCCGAGAGAGTGAGAACCATTAAGCGGATTTGAATAAGAAAACGGGAGAAGACAAGTCAGATATGGAAGACAACAAATCCTACACAAGGCGATGTTGTTTTCCAATATTTCAGGCGTAGGAAAAGGGGGGGGGGGGGGCGACTGCCAAACACACCAAAATGAAGGGGGGCGGACCCAACTTCTGCCTCCCCCCCCCTTCCTCAGCTTTCGAGGACATTCCCTGTAAACAAACAGTGCAATTCCTTACCCAGTTGTTGAACACTGGGCGCCTGCACCTGAAAGGGCAGCTGCAATTGAGTCTTGCGTTCAACGTGAAATAACCATTACGTCTAGTACTATCTAAATAAAAATGTCTGACATTTTAGTGCAGAAATTATTAAAACTCTCTTGAAAACTGCTAAAATCCAGGAGCTTCCGAGGCTTTGCCCCCGGTCTCCCACCAGTCCGGTAACCTGGACCCCACCAGGGGCTAAAGCCCCCAGGACCCCCGCTATTTTGGGGGAACCTATTCCCCCCCCCCCTTCAAATATTTTACGCCTATATATATAATCATGCAACATCTTCAGATATTCCTTAATCTCAGTAAAACTTTATTGTAGTAACCAATTTTGTGGACATATGAGAGCTACATGGAAAATTGATATTTGACGGAGTGAAAAACATTGTCATCGTATCTGCAATTTTTTTTTTTTTCTTCTTTCTGGTTACATCTTTTGAATCCTTTGCAGCACCAAATTCCTCTGTCTATACTATAGCTACACCCATACATCCCTATCCTTGTAATA